CACACACACACACACACACACACACACACACACACACACACACACACAGGTTTGTTTTTATGGTTTACGGGAACTCTCCATAGGCATAATGGTTTTTATACTGTACAAACCGTATTTTCTATTGCCCTACACCAACCCTACCCCTAAACTTACCCCTCACAGGAAACTTTCTGCATTTTTAGATTTTCAAAAAAACTCATTCTGAATTATTTATAAGCCTTTTGAATTACGGGGACACTGAAAATGTCCTCATAAACCACATAAACATACACACACACACACACACACACACACACATTAAATACAAATATCTATCTATCTATCTATCTAGTCTCTACAAGACTTTTTTTTTTCAAAACAAGGATTTGTCAAGCCAACATTCAAGACAAACTTCTGTTTTTCTGGCTAAAAAATTATATAGAAATTTCTTTGAATTTCAATAAATTTTTTAATTCTTCTTCCTCTACAAGACTTTTTTTTTCAAAACAAGGATTTGTCAAGCCAACATTCAAGACAAACTTCTGTTTTTCTGGCTAAAAAATTATATAGAAATTTCTTTGAATTTCAATAAATTTTTTAATTCTTCTTCCTCACTTTCTAATTTGGACTGCAATTCTGCATCCTGTTTTCTAATGTACCTCCAATTCAATTCGAATTCAGGAACTGATTGGGAATTTAAATAGGAATTAGCTCACTGGTAAAACATATTGTTAATAAATACTTTGTTTATTGATTTTCAAATGAACTTTACTCACAATCCTCCAGGGGCTGTTCCCTCTGTGGTGCCGGTGTTCCCCGGGACTGTGGACTGCATAGAGGCTGTACAGGAATGTATAAAGGACCCGGAGTGTAAGCGACAGTTACGGCACCTGGAGTACTGTGTGGATGAAGAGGCGGTGGCTCCCCTCAGTCTGGAGGGGCGGCAGGCCTGTGTCGACGCCCAGAACAACCTCATGCACTATCAGAGCCTGCAAGAATGCAAGTGTCAGCGAGGGTCTCGCATGGAACAACAGTGTCTGAGCATTTACTGGACCGTCCGTTTTCCACAGGGTAAGAGGCATAAGAGAGAGTTTTTACTTTTCATATAGTGACTGTTGTCAACAGTAAGCCCTCTTAAATTTTAACCTCTCCTCTACAACCACCCAGATCCATTCTCATTTAGTCCCACCCTAATTTTTTTTTCATTAAAAGTCCTGTTTGATTCAGAAATAGGAGTTCAAGGGAGTCTGTGGAAAGTTTCAAATAAAAGCTTTGGTGTGAAAAAGACCAAAATTTTTTGTTTTAGACCAATATTTACTGTGAAAAGGACTATAAAAATACATTTAAATGATCAAAAAGGACATTACATATACAGTGGGTATAGAAAAGAGTCACCCCCTTTCAAATAATCACATTTTGTTGCTTTGTAGCCTGAAATGAAGACGGACACAGTTTTTGTTTTATTCAGCTGTATTTACTATAGCATCCCAGTGAAAGATATAACACCAACATGTCAGAAAACAAAACAAAACTGAATAACACCAACATGTCAGATGTTGATTCTATAGAACCCAATGTATATACACACTACCGTTCTTTATTTATTTTTTAAGAAATAAATTACATTTTAAAATAAATAAAAAGAAAAACAGTTCTTTTAAACTGTAATAATATTTCACTGTTACAATTTTACTTTATTTTTGATCAAATAAAAGTAGGCTTAGTGAGCATAAGAGACTTATTTCAAAAACTTCAATTCAATTCAATAAAAAAAAATAAAAAATCCTACCAACCCCAAACTTGTGAATATCAGTCTGGGTATACCATAAAAAAAGGTACTCTCTTATTCATCAGTTTTTTTTGTTGCAATAGCATTTCTAATTGTGGTTAGTTACTCCCTTGTTTAAGAAAGAGAGATTATTTTAAGGGCAGTAAGAAAAAAATCCCAACATAGTCATGTACCGAAACTCTTTAATGTAAGATGGAAAAGGTCTTTTAAAGGAAACATAAGATTAGTGTTCTCTAGTAATCACACTCTTACAACTAACATCACTAGTCTAACAATTATACGTATAATTAGCTGATTATTGCTCTGTATTAGATATGTAAACACCGATGTATCAAATATATATGTGTGTGTGTGTGTGTGTGTGTGTGTATACTGAATATTCAGTTTCACTCAGAAATATATCATATTATAGAAGTTAAATGCATTGCTAATGCAGTTTCATGTTTTTAAGACTCCCTAGAATATTTCCTGACTGAACTGCTCATGTCCAGCAATTCCCAAGTCAATGAATGTCATGATGAAAGGAGCAGGTTTAAAGAAAGTGAATAAGAAAGTAAAAGAGGGAGTAGGTAACTCCAGAGAAAAGTCATGCAAAGAATTCAGTTCAATCAATTTCAAAATGACTGCCTTTGTTCTATCGGTCATAAACAGTGAACTCATAGATCTCAGTGGATGCCGTTTGTTATGTTCTTTCAGGACAATGCCAAAACGCTTTAATGAGAGTGTTGAGTGAGCTACCAGAAGATTTAGATTTAGGCAGTAATAGCATTTAATGAGTGCTCAGTAATGTGTATGAAATGGCAAGGCGGCATAAAACCCAGTCAGTCACTAAACAAACGGCTGGCTGACTGACAGTGCTATCGTGATTAATCTCGCCATTCCCTCGTCTGTTCATTACGCTCTGCAGGACGGACGCGTACATGCAGGAACCAGAATTTGCTGCGTACCGTCGAGGGCGTCTGGTTTCGTCTCACAGCAGAAGTTTCATGCTCATGTGTTTGCTCATGAGCAAAAGAGATTATGGAGATGCCGGTGAATGACGTCCAAGCACGGCTGCAAAATTAATTGATTCTGAGTACATATTCCCACCCAATATGGCTAATTAATATTAAACCTTATGAAACAGGAAGATGGTTTCCCACAGCGACTCATCAAGAGCTGTTGTAAATGCTGACTAATTCCAGGCTTCTCCAGCAGCGAACTCGTCATGCGTCTGAGTGCAATGCAGGGGCCGCAGGGGCCAGAAGGGCCCAGGCCTGATCGACAGTCTTAGAAATAAGTGCTTTTAAAACACATCAACTGGAAATGTCAAGTGTTCTTCTCCTGTGTGCCGCAAATGAAAACCATCAGCAAGGATACGCAAGGCACGTAATTGTGATTGTAGCACACTTGATGTGGCGCCTCCGTAGATTGAAATGTGGCATGCGTACAAGATGACAGGAGGGATTCTGCCTGTTTGCATTTGTTTGAAGAGTCTGTGTGTGTGTAGGTTTTGATAACCAAATAAATAAATAAAATGTCCCCAAAAGAATATCACAACATGACAAAAAAAATTCCTTCTGGGGATGTTGACGCAAAAATAACAGACTTGTGAAATTACAAAATGTGCATTTTGGAGTTAGGCTAAGACTGCAGTAATTATAACATGACTTTTTGAAGAAAATATGAGTGGTGTTTGCTGACAAATGTTTACAGTACTTGCCAATCTATTGCTAAGGCATTTGAAGTTGTTACTAGGGTATTCAGGAGGTTACTAAGGTGTTCTGGGTGGTTCAGCTTTGCTAGGTCTCTCTGATATTCTGATCTCTAGATATAAATGATGCAAGACAAGTTTTATTTATATACTGTAGCACATTTCATACACAGTGGTAATTCATGAAAGTGCATTACATACATAGTTGTTATAAAAAGAGAAAGATAAACAAAATTTTAAGAATAAGGAAGGAATAAAAGTTGAAATAAAATAAAATAAAAAAACAAATAAAAAAATAATAAATAAAAATAATAAAATACATAAATAAAATAGATAAAAGGAAAGAAAAAAACATTGCAAGAAAAGTTCATTTAAAACATTTAAGTAAATAAAAATAATAAAATAAAATTGCATAGTCATTATAAAGAGAAATACAATTTTAAGACATTTTAAAACCATTTAAGAATAAAGAATAAATCAATCTAAATAAATAAAATAATAAATATAAATTAATTCAAATAAAAAATATGATACAAATAAAAATTTAAAATAAATGAAAATGAAAGAAAATACCTTAATAAAATAATGAAAAATATAAATAAAAATGATAAATAAAAGTTAGAGTTAAAAATTAAATACAAATAATAAACAAATATGTAGAATAAAGAATACACTAAAAAATCATACTAACTGAGCATCGAATGACCCCTTTAATACTTAAAATGTTCATATATTATCTTATTTTAAATACAATAGATATGAACAGAAAGTCCCACCAAGAGAAAATATACAATACTAGCTTGTGTGAGTATGTGGATTCATACTCACTCATCTTGGCATGCAGTGTCCCCAGGGTTGTGTAATACAAATAGACTGGTCACTATTTTAACTTGTGTCTTGATCCAGACCTCTCAGTCTGTGGACTGACATTTCAACCAATGTATATATCACAAACACTGACCTCTTATTAAAATATGTAAGACTTTAAATCATTATTAAAAAATTCCATATGAAATTTGATAATGTGTGGTGCTGTTAATTAGGTATAATGATAAGGTAATGATACAGCTTGGTGAGCTTAATTAGTCGCAAACAATCTGGTGTCTTACAGTTATGTGTGTGTTTGTATTGCAGGTTATGATGACATTGAGACGTCCCCATATGAAGACATTGAACTGGAACTTGTGAAAAATAGCGAAACATCAAAACTAGCCTCAATAGTTTCAGGTACTGCAGCCACATCAGTGATACAACCAAATAAAATGTGTTTTCCTCCACAGCTGAATGCACTGTGATGATGTACACTAGTGTATTGCTGTATGTTTGTATGTTTGTGCTTAATATGTTTTCCTTGTCTTGCAGTTGTATTTCTGAAAAAAAAATGGTGTTGGATTTACTTTGAAACAATTTTCACTCAGAAATTACTAGTAACTTTCACAAATAATTACAAAGGAATGGCAAGTAACACACTGAATTAAAGGAATAGTTCATCCAAAAATGAATATTTGCTGAAAATATAATCACCCTCAGGTCATCCAAGATGTAGATGAGTTTGTTTCTTCATCTGAACAGATTTGGAGAAATGTACACTCTTAAAAATAAAGGTGCTTCTAAAGGTTCTTCACAGCGATGCCATAGAAGAACCATTTTTGGTTCCACAAAGAACCATTCAGTCAAAGGTTCTTTAAAGAACCATCTCTTTCTTACCTTTTTGTAATCTGAAGAACCTTCTTTCGCCACAAAGAAGCTTTTGTGAAACAGAAAGGTTCTTCAGATGTTAAATGTTCTTTATGGAACCATTTAGACAAAAAGGTTCTTCTATGGCATCGTGAAGCACCTTTATTTTTAAGAGTGTAGCATTACATCACTTGCTCGCCAATGGATCCTCTGCCGTGAATGGGTGCCGTCAGAATGAGAGTCCAAAGCTGATAAAAACATCACAATAATCCACAAGTAATCCACACGACTCCAATCCATCAATTAACATCTTGTGAAGTGAAACGCTGTGTTTTTATAATAAACAAATCCATCAAAACGTTTTTTTTACAAACCATAATATTGCTTTCTCTAGTAAAAAAAGTTGTCTCGTCTGAATCAGGAGAGAAATATGTATAAAAAATAAAACACTGTTTACAAGTGAAAACAGTCTAAAACAGTTCTAAACGAATATATCGGTGGATTTTGATGTGAGAGGAACAACAGGGGATGCACTTTTACACTGGAGGAAGCATTATTATGGATTATTGTTTATATTTTGGCCAGAAGCGATGGATTAAAGTTAAAACACCTTATGATGGATTTGTTCCTTACAGCTGCTTTTCACTTCAAAAGACATGTTGGACTGGAGGTGTGTGGATTACTTGTGGTTTATTGTGATGTTTTTATCAGCCGTTTGGACTCTCATTCTGACGGCACCCATTCACTGCAGAGGATCCATTGCTGAGCAAGTGATGTAATGATACATTTCTCTAAATCTGTTCCGATGAAGAAACAAACTCATCTCGGCTGACTTGAGGGGGAGTTAGCTTTCAGCAAATGTTCATTTTCTGGTGAACTATTCCTTTAAAATATTGAAGTAGAAAGAATAAAATATTATTTTCTTGCAAAACATGCTCCAGTAATCTATATTTTATTTACAACCTCCAAAAATATTTTTACAGTGTGTGTGTGTGAAATATAAAAAGCATAACATACTGCTTTATACATGCCCAAAAAGCATTTTCTTGGTGTTAAATTAGTACTGTCAGGATTTACTAAAGACGCACAGTGAAGAATTAGCACTGAAAAGGCGTGGACAGTTATTTTTGCGCCTGATCTTATTGAATATGCATTTGTAGGAGTTTCCCTTTCAGATGCAAAATTTATGGGAGGAGGTTATTAAAATGAATCATGCAATTCGATTTACTAACATTTGCGCTCGTCAAATTACTGGTAATTGCGCCATTATTTAACGCTCCAAAAAAGCATGTCTTAAAGCAGACGCTAATTTGTGCTGCTCTTGGTAGATTGTGGAAATGACCTGGCTGCGTCTGTGTTCTTTAATTTGCTCATTGTCAATCACCCACAGAAATTTCCACTCCCATTAGTGCTTTTTTGAAATTGCGCTCTCACGCTAATTTGCCGTTTAGTAAATCTGGCCTTTAATTAAAAGTGTATTTTGGTATTTTTCAGTGTCCTCCCTTCCTCTGACGGATCAGAACCAGTGTTTGAAAGCTGCTCAGGACTGTGGGTTGTACGAGAAGTGCGGGTCCCTGCGCTCTGAGTACGCGTTAGCATGCACTAAGATCATTCCTGGCACGAACCACTGTAACCGGCACAAATGTCACCGGGCCCTGCGGCGGTTCCTGGAGCGTGTTCCAGAGGAGTACAGTTTTGGTGTCTTATTTTGTCCCTGTTCGGATACTCTGTGCGGGGAGAGAAGGAGAAAAACCATTGTGCCCTCCTGTTCTTATGAGGAGCGAGACGGACAGCCCAACTGCCTCAATCTGGAGAGTTACTGCCTCAAAGACAACCTGTGCAGGTGAGATACATGTCTGTTAGCAGTTGGACATAGTGAAAAAATCTGATTTGTGAATCAGTCATTCTTTTGAATCTGATCATTTCAATCAATTAGCCGAAACATATGTGAATGTTTTATTCACTACTCAATCAGTTCAAGCTGTTCTAAAGTCAACAACTCACAAATGCATTGAACTACACCGAAGTGATTCATACCAGAAATGTATACCAAGTAAAAGATATTTGGAAAATGTTTACTGTCTCTTCTAAGAAAATGCCCCAAACTACCATTCCAATTTTTTTTTTAAACAAAGAAATTAATACTTTTATTGTGGTATTAAAGAAAAAAATATCACAGTTTATAATAATAATAATAATAATAATAATCAGCATATTAAAATGATTTCATGATCATGTGACAGTGAAGATGCTGAAAATTCAGCTTTGCCATTACAGGAAAGCATTTAATTTTATAATATATAATCAAATAGAAAAGTATTGAAAAATTAAAAATGTTTTCAGCCAAGAGATGCACATGAATTTTAGTTCGAACTGTTTGAAAGAACCAATTTGTGTAACTGATTGTGACATAATACACTCGCATCAGATGTTCTAGCCCTCAATCAGACTAACCTCAGCTTTGATAACAGCACAGAATGATCATTTCCACCTTTCTTCTTGAAATACAAGACTTCCCTTTTATCTTCCTCTAGAAACAGATGTCTCTGGCAGTAATGCTTATCTAAGCATCATTAATAGCACAGAACATGCTGAGTTGGATGGAAGAAAGGACAACAGGTCGCATATTATACGATTAGACACATCTTGTAATTAAACAAGGATAAAAAAAGAGAAATGTTTGGAAAATGCAGACTATCCTGAACAGCATGGACACATTTAGTAATTCTGCTTAAGGCACCCATTTGTCCAACAGCGGCCCTGCATTTAGTTAGTGTAAGGCATTTTCTTAGAAGAGGCAGTAAGTCCTTAAAAAAATTTGTTACAAAATTACAAAATGAATAGTACAAAATTGCATTAGATATTGAAAAAAAAATCGAATCATTCATAAGTCACTCGTAATTTAATAAAAAAACACTATTTTTGTGTTGTTGTTAAAGGTGCAGTAAGCGAGAAACTCTGTTGAAAGTGGATCGGACTGAGCACCAAAACACACTTGTAGCCAATCACTAGTAAGGGGCGTGTCCAGTAGTGATGGGGAGGTGCCTGTGTTGAATAGCATGTTCAGAAATTTGGGGGCGGAGGCAAGATAGGGGTGTGATTCTTTTGGGTAGGGGCGTGTTTGTTTTGGTGATTTCAAATATCAACAGCATTTCTCAGAAATCTCTTACTGCACCTTTAATTAAAACTTTAAAAAATTGTTGAAATAATATATCTAAATATCAGATGAAACACTTAAACTTAAAAAACTTAACATTTAGAAAGGGTATGCAACGAACTGAAATGTTAAAAGTACTAAATTTACTAAAACTAAAATTTAAATAAAAATTAAATAGAAATACCATATTAAAATATTAGTTAAATATTTTAACATGGTATTAAAATATTAGTTAAATAGAAATAAAAAAAATTATAAAAATGACTATAGCACATAACAAATGTAATAAAACAAAAAAATGTAACTAAACACTGAATATACAAACATAAACAAGAAAATATAAAAAATATATTATGAAGTTAATTCAAAATATGAATAAATTCTATAACAAATACAAATAAAATAAAACTGTTCTAAAGTACAGTTCCACAGCAGCACCAACAGATAAATGTTTGTAGGGGGCAACGTAAACTTTTTTTTTTTAAATGTTGGTAAATGTTTAAAAACTAGTGGCTTTTTAAAGACCAAGCAGAAGCCACAGTAAACCAGTTGTGTCAGCAGTTTAATGACTGTGCATGCAACTAGTAAACAATTAACCTAATATGGTTATTACCCAGTGAATCATTTACGACTATAAGGAAAACATTACATCACCTAATTAATATTCATGAACAACACTGATCAGGTTTATAACGAGTCCCCTCTCACTTTTCAAACCGTTCCTTGACAAAAACTGTACACACTACAGATTGTCTACATATTTAAGCATCTGATCATGCATTCTGTGTATAGATTTCCTCTGTCAGAATTTGACATACATTTATGTTCTAATCATCCTGTGTCCGTATTCAAATTTGTCTGGTTTGTCAGGTCAAGACTGGCTGATTTCCAGCAGAACTGTCAGCCGTCTTCTCTCTCTCCCTCCGGCTGTCTCCGGGAAAGTGTAGCTGTGTGCCTCAAGGCCTACGCTGGGCTCATCGGTGAGAAACCACCTCAGATGACCTTGAAAAAGTGGACACAACTTAATGAAGAGTACAAAACGCACAAATCAATAAAACACTGCACAGTCTGTACTTAAATAATATTACGTTTTTAATGACGAGCACTTCTGCATCCTGCTGGAGTGAGTTCACTGAAATGGGAAATGGTATCGGGAACGATTGGTCAGAGCAGTTTGGGTTCAGCTTCATGTCGTGGGTTTACTTTAACCCAGTGTGCCACTTATATTGAATTAGCAGGACAACCTGAGGCAACATAATTAAACTGGAGGGGGGTGGATAGACTACACTGGTTGGAGATTCTCCCAGATGGGCTTCGGGCTAATTGGCAAGGGATCTTTTCCTCTGGCTGTCTCTCATCCCCTCTTTTCCTCTCCCTCCCTCTGCAGGTACCATCATGACACCAAACTACGTAAGTAACAGCAGTACAGAGGTATCGCAGTGGTGTAATTGCGAAGGCAGCGGAAATCAGTGGCAGGACTGCCTGCGTATCCTGCACATGTTCAACAGCAACACCTGCCTGCGTGAGTATCCCAGAATATCAGATCATCTTAATGTTTGCAAAAAAAGAGTGTAAATATGGAACTGTTCTGGCAGATTTGTGGTTTCTTACAGAGCCCATGAAATGGTTTAACATTTAAACTTTTCTTTTGTGTGATTTCTTACTGAAACAGGAAGCTGGCGTGGGTGCTTGTTGGAGCTGCTCTAATTCAGCATTAATTTGAGTACTAATTTAGCAAGGATGCATTAAATTGATCAAAAGTGACAGTAAAATCATTTATAATTTCGACTACATTTCTAAATCCAAATATTTCAAACGGCTTCCACAACCATATTAAGCAGCAACTGTTTTTAACGTCGATAATAAACAGAACTGTTTCTTGAGCATCAAATCAGCATATTAGAATGATTTCTGAAGGATCAAGTGACACTGAATACTGGAGGATTGATGCTGAAAATTCAGCTTTGCAATGACAGGAATAAATTACATTTTAAAATATACTCAAATATAATATAGTTATTTTAAATTGTAATACTATTTCACAGTATTACTGTTTTACTGTATTTTTGATCTGATAAATGCAGCCTTGTTGAGCATAAAAGGCTTCTTTAAAAAAAATGTTACTGACCCCAAACTTTTGAAGAACAGCGTATACAATCTGCTCTAAAATTTCATAATAGATCTCAACGCTGTGCTTAAACTATGATATCTGTTTCTCTTATTTAAATATGAACTGAAGCATTTCTCATCAAATTCAACAAAAGTCCTTTAGTCAGATTATATTGTGCTTTGGAATGAGGGTGTCAGCTTTATTTTTCTTTCATGAAGTGAAACTTTAAATGACTCAATGAGACTTAGTAGGCTTAGTAGTAATCAGATCTTTAATTTGTCCTCAATCTTGTGGTTGCCTTGGTTTTGTATTAGTATTAGCATAGTATTCGCAAAGTCGTTTAGTGATAGCCAGTGACCATTCCAACTAACCCACCAACCAATCAAAAAATAAACAAATTAATAAATAAAAAAATTATGTAACTTTATATAATGCAATTTAATAATTAAATACATAAATAAAGTGATTTAACTTGAGCTAACTGTTAGCATTAGCCAAACTTTGCAAAATATCTGTGCCAGAGTCATTTCTTGATAGACAAATAAGCTACTAAAGCTTCAGGGAGTGACACTATCCAAATAAATCATTTATATTTCTTGCAAAAATCATTTTGTTGGCTAATTTTGACTGGATGTCCATAGAGAAGCATGCTTTTTGACAGCATAATGGCGTAATACTAATGCTAACGGGCTAAACCCTGACCCCCATAGACAAGGTTTTAGCATTAGCATAATATCTGTGCCAGAGTCATTTCTTGATAGACAAATAAACTATTAGAGCTACAGGGAGTAACACAGTCCAACAAAATCGGTCACTGGTGAAACATTTGTTTTGTAAATTTCTTTCAAAAATGATTTTGCGTGCTACTTTTGAATAGATGTCAATGGAAAACATGCTTTTTGACAGCATAATGGAGTAGTACTAAAGCTAACCGGCTAAACCCTGACCCCCTGGCCATGTTATTAGCATTAGCAGTAGCATAATATCTAGCTAATATAATTTCTTGATAGCCGATCAGCTTTTAGCGCTTCAGGGAATGACACCGTTCGTGATAGCAACACTTACTTGACTATGTATTGTAAAATGGATTGTATATTTGCTGCCCACATAAAAGAGAAGCAAATAATCCCTGGGTGTCCATAGGCGTGCAGACTTTATCAAGAAACGCTGCTCTGATCTGTGTGTCTTTGTGTTCGTGTGTCCTCGCTTTGGACCGCATGTACATCCTCTGTTCTCAGAGCACACAGACCACAGCATTCAGCTTAGAGATAATCTGGGCCTGCAGACAAAAAGGATTCAATTCAGTTTCTGCTGTCATTTATTTCTTTCCTAGACTCTCTCTCTCACTTGTGTTCTCCAGCAAATCTCTCCTCTCCAAATGTCCCTGTCTTTCCTGATCTGTCTCTCTTGATGTGCTTCTTACTTTCTTGGCCAGTCTTTCTCTCTTTCTCTCTGAATGGATTAGCTAAAGGTGTTTGCAAGCAGTGGTGCATCAGTCAAACTTCATTAATATTAATGTATTCATACCCATCTGTCTGTATTTCTAGCTAACTCTCTTTTTCTCTTTCTCCTTTTATCGTTCGTTCCTAATCCTTCTCCCTCACAATCTCTCTGTCCCTCTCCCTGAAAAACACTCACCATCGTATTGCTCCTACTTTTCTAAAACTGTACTTCTTAGGTGATTCATTTATTTCTCATATGATTCATTTTTTCATATCACCATTCAACTAATTTTATCTCAGATGTTTCTCATAAAACTCCATGTAACAAAGTTTAATTCTGTATGTGTTCAATTATGTTATTTTTATTACATTATGTATTATTTTTCTGTCCATCTGGACCACAAATAGCTCCAGCTCTAAACTCACGCCATAGAAGGCAACAGTTGAACCTTGAGTTGGGAGGTTTTTAATCGATGGTATGTTTGTGTTGAAGACATCAGCCCGCATTATTTCAACTTATATTTTTTAAAAATCGTGTTTAACAGCAGACTGGTGAGAAACTACGTTTCCCATGATTGTGCAAACATATATCCACCAATCAGAGAAGAGAAACAAGTAAATTGTGCCAAAAGAACACTTTGGTGCCCACCAACTCCCATGAAGCACAACAAATGACTTAATAGTCAAATCTCTTTATGCTTTCAAACTACTAAATATTTGTATTTATATATGCATATTTTGCGATAAACATAAAATATACAGTTTCTATAGACACAGTCAACATCTTTAAATCAACAGGTTTATGTTCCTCCATTGTTTTCATTTTGATTGTCATTCACAATGCTTCATGGGATTGTAGTTCCTTCCCTCATTGAAGCCGTCTCGTACTTTTGTCTTTTTGTACAATTTTCAAAAAACTTTTCTGCTTCAAATCAAAGTTTGTAATGTTGTGATTCACCCCCTAGTTGTATAACTTCTTAAACGATGACTTATTTAAAATCAGGCTAAGGCCAGTGAAGTGGTTGGGCACCAGTTTTTGATATTTATTATTATTATTATTAATAATAATAACATTTATTAATATTTGTACTTTTTTTTAAAATATTTTCCATTTTAATTTGAGTTAAAGTTTTATTACATTTCTTGTGCTTTTGTCAGTTTTAGTTTTTATATATATATTTTCTATATAGTTTTTATTTATTTTTATTTCAGTTTTAGATTTTGTTAAAATAAATTAATCAATCTAAACTACATTAAAATGAGAAATGTTGTCTTGGAAATTAGTTTAAATAAAAAAACCCACTTTTTTTATTTTATTAATTTTTTTTTCAGTCAACGTTTATTTTATTTAAAGTGACAAAAATGTTTCTTTTGTTTTCATGGTCAATTTTAGTTGACTACCCAGACAGTGTTGTACTCTATTGGCTGTGCCAGTGTTGCAACAATTTAAACAATAGGGTATAATATTATGTCGAACATCACCTGACCAAACCAGAAATCGGGTCTCATCGCATCCGCTGTTGGAGAAACTGATGGCAGTATCTATGGACTAGTTGTTTTATTTATTTATATTGTTTTATTCAACTTTAATATCAAAATGTTAGTGAGAAGCAGAAAAAAAAAACTTTTAGATATTAATCTGGACATCAATCAGTCTGGACATTGGTTATGATTGGTATCTCCTTTGAAGGAGTAAAACAGCTCCATATTTAACAAAGCACATACAAAAGACCTAGGGCTCGTTCTTCGTACGTTGCTAACTCAGTTAGCTGGATTTGATTGTTGACGATTTGGCATGATCTTGGATTGTTTGGTTCTTCGAAGCTCATCCACCTTTTGCTGTCATAGCTCATCCACCTTTTGCTGTCATAGCAACAGGTCCATAAGTTTAAACCTGCTCGGGAGCAGGTTTATTTCATGTAAACAGGATTAGATTGCATCTTTTTAAGCAGAACTGATACTTAAAATCTGTCTGCTACCACCGCTACTTTATTACAAGAGTATCCTACTGATCCAGGGACAATAATTTAAAATAATAATCATTTAAAAATTAATTTAAAGATAATATAATAATGTTGTGTAAACGCTAAAAAATGCTGGGTTGTTTCAACCCAACTTTGGGTCAAATATGGACTAACCCAACTTTTGGGTTAAAATTTTAATGTAAAAATGTAACCCAACAGTTGGGTTAGTCCATATTTGACCCAAAGTTGGGTTGAAACAAAGCATTTTTTTAAATCCCTTTTTTTTTTTTAACTAAAACCCAAAGCATTTTTTAGAGTGTAGTCTTTAATACTATAGACACAGCCAGTTTTATCATCATGATATCATGATATCATCTTGGATGTGACATTTCATCTCGGATGTAATAAGCGACGTACGAAGAACGGGCCCCTGAACTGGAAGCGACATGTCCTGTTTTACACAAATTTGTTGTGCATAACCCCCATTAAAGAGACATTTCTCTGTTTCCAAAAGGTGGTTGAAAGCGAAGAAGATGAGGAGGAAGAAGAGGAGGAGGAGGAAGAAGACCAAACCGGAGGAGGAGGAGGGTTCAACGTCATCCCTCCATTCTCAGACAAGGCGACAGTCACTAACCTGGGCTCTGAGGCCGGAAGAGTCCACAGCTCAGCCTCCACCTTCTCCATCCCTCACTTCCTACTCGCGGCTCTGCTGCTGATTGCTCTCCGCTGGGGGTAGAAACCCTCAGTCATACACACACACACACACACTCTTACACAACACACGCAAACACACTTCCTCCTGAAGTACTCGCTCACATCCAGACTCTATCATTGAGGGATGACAAGAACGACAGATTGGAGGGCGAAACGAGCGGACAACTGTTCTATCCTTCTTTCCTTCTTTCATTCATTCTTTTTCTTTTTCTCGGGAAGAGGGTCTGCTATAGGTATAGCTGCTTGTTCATTAGGGAATCACGTTCTGAATGGGATTCCCCACCTGAATCATTTGAATCACACAGAAGATTCACGACTCCTCGGACTGACAGTAGTTGACGGTGAACAAATGATTTGGTCTTGCCATGTATCTATTGTATAACGTCAGTGTGCTTCAGAAAAGCGAGTTAAACCAGGAAAGAGTTTGCTTTCCTTGGGTTCGGAAAACCCGCCGTGTTTATTGTCGCTGATCATGTCATATGAAATGAGACAAAATGTATGTGTGTTTGTAAGTACGTGATTCGCTTGACATCGCTGCTCGCCGACATGAGAGCAAAAAAATTGTCGAGCACGATTTCCAAATCTTCCCGTTTCTCACGCCTCCGTGTCTCTGGAATCAGGCCGCACACCTAATCACACACACAGAGACACACACACACACACACGTCTGCCCTGCTGCGGAGCCGATCACACAGATGCAAGCGGTTTTCATTTATTACTCTATCTGCGATGTGCTTTCATTTTTTGACTCAGCACAGACTGTGCATTCTAACCAGGGGCATAAATAAAAAAACACGTTCGCGAACAGAAAAAAACATGAGTAATAAAGCTGAAAATAAAGAAATAAACACACTAAATAAATAAACATACCGCCGCACAGCAGGTGTCGGAGTCCGGTCTGGGTTTAGAACCCGAGGGGAAGAAACAGGAAGTCATTTTCCAACCGCCTGTCGCCTGGTACCTCTCCCTGTGCCTGTTGTTTTACTTTCACAGAGATAATGGCTTACAACACAAACTGTTTATCTTGTTGTGTGTTCATGGGGATGAATTACTCGTGATGGGAGCGAAATAGAAAAAAGAGATCAAAGGAAAGAACAGACGGAGACGGGGAGAGACTCAAACCCTCCAGCGAAGAGAAAAAAACATACAGTCTAGAATCACATGCTTTTTCTGTTTCTTATAAATCTTTTGCTGACACCGATGCTTTTTTCTCAATCTCGTTTCTTTTCCTCGCTCTCGTGCATGTCCGTGGAAGTGAGAGAGAGAACATGGGTGCACTCGTACTGAATTCAATCAATCAAGAACTTACTTCTCAACTGTTGATGGATGTATGTTCAGTAGGTATGTAGTATAAATATGAGATTTGGTTCCTCACAGAAACCTATTCCCCTTGGACCACAAGTGGTAACCCATTGTAATGCCTGTTCAAAAATGCAATATTGTCATTATATTTTGACTAATTCAGTTTTTTTTAGATTGCAAGTAAAAACTTATTTTACATACCCCCGGTTTCACAGACAAGGCTTAAGTCTAGTCCCAGACTAAAAGGTAATTCTGAGCTGTTTCAACTGAAAGAAACTTGCACTAACAGATCTTAAAATATGTCAGTGCCTTTATTTTGTCTCAAGATGCACACCACTGATGTTTTTTTCTAAGCCACGTTTATAAAAACAACTTAAATGTCCTAATTGAACTATTGCCTAATCATGGCTTAGCCTAAGCCCTGTCTGTGGAACCAGGCCATAATGTCATTTCTTTAACTTCTCAGTTGATAAGAATGTTGTCTGGAAATAATTAAAAACAACTATTTAAATAATATGAATAAACAGGCCATTGAACATCATGTTATTCAAAAGTTTTTAAAAGAAGTCTCTTATGCTCCCTGCAATCATGTTATCAAAAATACATTAAAAACAATATTCTTTTGAAATATTATTACAATTTTAAATAGTTGCTTTATATTTTAATAATTTTTCAAATGTAATTAATTCCTGTGATGTTAAATCTTCAGTGTCACGTAATCCTTTAGAAATCATTCTAAGATGCTGATATGCTGCTTAACAAACATTTATTATTATTATCAATGTTGAAAACATTTGTGCTGCTTCATATTTTTTATGGAAAATCTTATATACATTTTTGCTGACAAACAAGTAAAAAAAAGACTAATTAAACATGTAAGGCATCATTTTAACAAATGATTTGGTCTTGCCATGTATCTATTGTATAACGTCAGTGTGCTTCAGAAAAGCGAGTTAAACCAGGAAAGAGTTTGCTTTCCTTGGGTTCGGAAAACCCGCCGTGTTTATTGTCGCTGATCATGTCATATGAAATGAGACAAAATGTATGTGTGTTTGTAAGTACGTGATTCGCTTGACATCGCTGCTCGCCGACATGAGAGCAAAAAAATTGTCGAGCACGATTTCCAAATCTTCCCGTTTCTCACGCCTCCGTGTCTCTGGAATCAGGCCGCACACCTAATCACACACACAGAGACACACACACACACACACGTCTGCCCTGCTGCGGAGCCGATCACACAGATGCAAGCGGTTTTCATTTATTACTCTATCTGCGATGTGCTTTCATTTTTTGACTCAGCACAGACTGTGCATTCTAACCAGGGGCATAAATAAAAAAACACGTTCGCGAACAGAAAAAAACATGAGTAATAAAGCTGAAAATAAAGAAATAAACACACTAAATAAATAAACATACCGCCGCACAGCAGGTGTCGGAGTCCGGTCTGGGTTTAGAACCCGAGGGGAAGAAACAGGAAGTCATTTTCCAACCGCCTGTCGCCTGGTACCTCTCCCTGTGCCTGTTGTTTTACTTTCACAGAGATAATGGCTTACAACACAAACTGTTTATCTTGTTGTGTGTTCATGGGGATGAATTACTCGTGATGGGAGCGAAATAGAAAAAAGAGATCAAAGGAAAGAACAGACGGAGACGGGGAGAGACTCAAACCCTCCAGCGAAGAGAAAAAAACATACAGTCTAGAATCACATGCTTTTTCTGTTTCTTATAAATCTTTTGCTGACACCGATGCTTTTTTCTCAATCTCGTTTCTTTTCCTCGCTCTCGTGCATGTCCGTGGAAGTGAGAGAGAGAACATGGGTGCACTCGTACTGAATTCAATCAATCAAGAACTTACTTCTCAACTGTTGATGGATGTATGTTCAGTAGGTATGTAGTATAAATATGAGATTTGGTTCCTCACAGAAACCTATTCCCCTTGGACCACAAGTGGTAACCCATTGTAATGCCTGTTCAAAAATGCAATATTGTCATTATATTTTGACTAATTCAGTTTTTTTTAGATTGCAAGTAAAAACTTATTTTACATACCCCCGGTTTCACAGACAAGGCTTAAGTCTAGTCCCAGACTAAAAGGTAATTCTGAGCTGTTTCAACTGAAAGAAACTTGCACTAACAGATCTTAAAATATGTCAGTGCCTTTATTTTGTCTCAAGATGCACACCACTGATGTTTTTTTCTAAGCCACGTTTATAAAAACAACTTAAATGTCCTAATTGAACTATTGCCTAATCATGGCTTAGCCTAAGCCCTGTCTGTGGAACCAGGCCATAATGTCATTTCTTTAACTTCTCAGTTGATAAGAATGTTGTCTGGAAATAATTAAAAACAACTATTTAAATAATATGAATAAACAGGCCATTGAACATCATGTTATTCAAAAGTTTTTAAAAGAAGTCTCTTATGCTCCCTGCAATCATGTTATCAAAAATACATTAAAAACAATATTCTTTTGAAATATTATTACAATTTTAAATAGTTGCTTTATATTTTAATAATTTTTCAAATGTAATTAATTCCTGTGATGTTAAATCTTCAGTGTCACGTAATCCTTTAGAAATCATTCTAAGATGCTGATATGCTGCTTAACAAACATTTATTATTATTATCAATGTTGAAAACATTTGTGCTGCTTCATATTTTTTATGGAAAATCTTATATACATTTTTGCTGACAAACAAGTAAAAAAAAGACTAATTAAACATGTAAGGCATCATTTTAAAAATGGTCGTCTTTTTCATTTAAAATGTCAAAAAAAAATCCTTGAAACAACAGCATAAGACATAGGACTTGTTTTTAAAAATACAAATATATTTTGTCTAACTAGTAGATTTTTTTAGTTTTAAGTAAAAATTAAGTTAAAACTTAAAAAATAAATAGCTTTTAATATCTTTTAATAAAAATTTTATAAAAATATTTTATACAATTATTAAATATTATAAAATATAATAATAAAATCTTACTGACAACAAATGTTTGAACAGTAATTGCAATTGCTAACTGCAGGGAAGCATGCATATACCGTATTCAGACGCAGCCTCTGTCTACTTCCTACCAGATGGGTTTTTAGAGCATGAGGGCTACTGAACACATTTGCCTCCCTCCTCCTCCTCCTCCTCCTCCTCCTCCTCCTCCTCTTCTCTGGAAGAAATTAAAGCTTAGCTAAAGTGCTCATATCTCATCTGGCATTCTCAAGAAGCACCTTCGATTACACTGACATGACTTAACAATCAGATTCTGAACTGATCTATTATGCGGAGGAACACAGAAGGGTGCGCTCTGATTGAACAGACGTTGTGCTCCTCAACGTTTTCTCCTCTGTGGCAAGGTCAGCGAGCCACGCTCAATCAGTAGGGTTAATTAAGAGAAGAAACGAGAGCGCCTCTGGATTGATGCGCCTGTCGAAATAGCGGGCAGCCTTTATGATGGCTGTTGTTATTTTTTAATTGTTATCGGGGGCCAGTGTCATCTGCCCAGCCATAACAGAGGGAGGCAGAGAATGAGTGACATCGGAGGAGGAGAGAAAGGGCATGGGTGTCAGTGATTCACATTACAATATTTCAGGAAAAAAACAAATAAGCCATGCGTTAAATAAATGCACATTGCAGAAAAGTTTCGGGAGGCACAGACAGAAGAGAAGTGTTAGCTCTGTTCCAAAACCTAGCAAGCTTCCTATTTAGACAGCATTTGCTGAAATGTAGCAGGATACAGTACCTTTTTTCGGTTCAATTTTAATACACGCTTTCCCAGGATGTGAGTGAACAATGTCGATTATAAATATGTTTAATTAAATACTGTAAGGAACTGATAAAATTGTTCAATCTAATTAAAGAATGACTATTTTACCTAATTATTGTGCATATACTGCACAAATGATTTCTTAATGAGTTTTTAATTAGTCTTTTTTAACTTGCTTATCCATAAAAATATTTAAACATCCTTAAAACAAAATAAATTTACTTGAGCAACATAAGATATTAAAACTTAAGTGAATGTATTTTTAATATAGCCTAAGTATTAAAGAGCTTTAAATCATGTGAAAAAAAAATCTGCTAGTGCTGTAAGACAAAATACTCTTGTGTTGTCCGAAAACATATCCTAATATCTAATGCTGTGCTGTTTCTCATAATTTTATCTTATTTCAAGGATTTAAAGATAAATTACATGGAGCACAAGACAAAAAATATATAATTCTACCAAATTATTGTGTATACTCTGTAAAAAAACAAAAAAACAAAAAAAACTTCTTAATGAGTTCTTAATTAGTCTGTTTGACTTGTTTGTCAGTAAAAATATAAAAAAATCCTTAAAACAAGATGAATTTACCTGAACAATATTGTACATGAGATATTAAAACTTAAGTGAATGTATTTTTTTAATGTTTTTTAATATATGAAATAGTTTAAACTAATTTATGCTTAAAAAATAAAATATAAATATATACTTCAGTCAAAATACACTTGTATTCCCTAAAAAAATATTAATATTTTTTTTGTCATGTTGTTTCTCATGTTATCTTGTTTCAAGGATTTTAAGATATTTTGACTGGAAAACAAGATTTAGTGTGCATATGTTGTAAAAAAAAAAAAAAGAAGTACTTTTTAAGTTTTTAATTAGTCTTTTTTGACTTGCTGTTCTGTAAAATATATTTAAAAACCCTTAAAATAAATTTACTTGAGCAACACTGGGTAAGATATTAAAATTCAAATGTAATATTATTGAATTTTAAAAAACAAGTGAAAAAAAGCCAGTTTATTAACTCATTTATGCTTAAAAAACAACAAATATATGCCAGTGCAGTAAGACGAAAACACTCCAAATCTCAGAAAATATGTTGTGTTGCTTCTCAAGAAATTATATCTTGTTTCAAGGATTTTTATATATTTTTAACTGAAAAAGAAGAGAAAAAAATACTTGTGTATTGGACTTCTATGTGTGTATCATCCTGTTAGCTTTCAACACGCTAACATCAAACTCAAAATATTAATTCAAGTTTTCATGCTGATAAGTGCAGATTTGGTGCTGGTCAGGGTAGTTCACAAGCACAACTTCACTTATAAAGTTGGTTAAGCAGCATGATCTTGCCTGGTTAAGCTAGCTAAGCCACCTGGGAACGCCCATGTCGTGAACCAGTGTTCAAAACAAGCCCAGTTCTGAAACTGAGCTAGAGAGACGGATCCCACACTAAATTAATCAT